ACACAGTCTCAGTATAAAACACATAACAACCTTCAGGGTAAAGTGTTGATGTTCACGAGTACACTAAAGTGCACAGGTTTTCTGATTTACCTGTATTTCAGTAAACACTTCAAGAACAATACTGTGGAAAACAAACAAACATCTGCTTTAGATGGACTTTGCATACTGGAGGAAGTGGTCTGTTACAATGCATCTTTGTAATATTTACTAGAGGCCCTTTATCATTTAATCAAAAACAGTTTTGAGAATCATTCACAGGTACAGTCAGCAGTTGGGGACATTTTAAGTTATTGTGCTGTTTTTTAAAACGCAGAGACTCCGTTGCCCACCTTTGCCTCATTGTGAGCCAGGAAAAATCCTGTTAAATGTTTGACTAAGAGCCTGGAAAAGTAAAAGGTTTCTGTTCAAAGTCATTAAATTGATCTCAAACTATGTCAGACAAATATTGTAACCCAATCAGCCTGTTAAGGTCCATTAAATGTGTCTCTTCTTGTAGGAACCTGCGTCGTTTCCGTCGCTGGCAGGTGCGGCAGGTGGAAGCGATGCGTTGCAGGAGAGAGTGGCACCGCCAGCTGGGCGTGGAGAACGCCGGGAGTCTGGACTGTCGATTTAAACTCAACACACACAAGATGGTGTTTGTCATGAACTCTGAGGATTACATGTACCGCAGAGGAGCGCTGGTCAAGGCCAGGAAGGTAGGTCATTAGTTTCCCGCTGTGGCGTGTTGTAAGACGAATCTGGGTGACGATGTGGTGTCGGGATAATCGAGCCTCGCCTTTTGTGCTCATTAAATCCTGTTTGGACGAAGCTCTGACAGTTGTTCCTCTTCCTCCACAGTCGCAGCACAGAGTGGCAGCGAGCCAGCACGAACGCTTTGACAAGTGGCACCAGGGCTGGCTGGCCAATCACGTTGCGGCCTCCGCTGATCGCTCGGTGCAGAACTGGCTAATGGGCGAGGAGGAAGAGGACATGATCCCCTGCAAGACGACCTGCCTGTCGACTGAGGTCAAAGGGCAAATGGTGAACAGATACCAAGTTCATTACAGCGGTAGCAAAGCCCCAGCCTCACCGTAGAGGCCCGATGGACATACAGCGTACACACACACACAGGTAAATGCATGGACGTACAGGACATTCATACACTAAACACAGACATGAACAGCTGCAGTCCCACTTCTCCACCTTCCTCCACAACACATTCACTCATTCACTTCCACTCATGGATGAAGAAACGGTGCAGACTCTGGACTGTTTACACCAGGGAACAGTGAGTCAGTGAATGAGTGCACAGTGAGTGATGATGTGGAGAAAAAGGACCAACGCAGACGGTGAAGTAATCAGTGAGAGTGAACTCGGCCCTGATCGATGGGACGAGTTGGACACGACGGCACAAACGAAGCATCATCATCATCATCATCATCATCGTCATTCTAGCTTCTCTGGTGGCACTAAAAGTTGATAAGACTGAGGCGGTTGATCAGGTGAGAAGTTATGAGATCATGAAATTTGTTTCAGAAATGTGAATGTCTGTTTCTTTTTCTTTCTTTTTTTTTAAGTCAAGTGTAGTTTTTAGCTTCTAAAGCCAGAGAGCCTTCTGTTTGTCTGTTGGTTGGTTGGTTCATGCGTGTTTATATGGAGAGATAATGGTTAAAAATGTGTATGTATGTGTATCCTGCTCTCTTCATTTTGTCTGTTTGTATGCCCAGTACAGGCTCTACAACTCTAGTAATTGCATTATTACTGTATGTGCATATATACAACAGGGGTCCTGTATTTTTATATATGCATCTACACGAGTTGATTGATACATCTTAAGATCATGTGGTTCTTTACAGTGTTTGCTGTCAGCCAACTCTTGATGTTTGCATTTTGTTTTTTTGTATTTTTTCCCTTTTTTGTGTTGTAGCTAAACAAGATATCACCAGGGCAACAAGGAGTCCTTAAAATTAATTGGTTTAATATGGATGAAGCAGTCAAATTATGTATCATGTTCATGATACTAAATGTTTACTTTGTATTGTCTTTTTTTTGCATACTGACATTGAAAATAAAAGCAAAATATCAGTGTTAAAATAGAATGTATAACATTTATCCTGTATCAGTTATCACAAAATAAACAACCTAGTTGTGACCTTCTTAGATGTTGACTGGCAGGTTGTTTGTTGGATACAGAAGATTCAGTCTGTGAAGTAGCTGCATGTGAAACTAAAGAGCTTATAAAACAGGGTTGAAACAACATCTTTGACACTATCAACAAAAACATAATTAGTTGATCGGCAGAAAATTAATCTTATTGATCGTTTAATTTACTTTTTAAGCCAAAAGTTCCAGTTGTTTAAACGTGAAGATTTGTTGGTTTTGGACTGCTGATGAAAACAAAACCAATAAACTCAAGACGTCACACTGAATTCTGGGAAACTGAGATTGAAAATGACATTTTATAGACAGAACGAATAATTGATTAATAGAGAAAATAATCATCAGATTAATCTATAATGAAAAGTAGTGTTAATAGCATTTATTGCAGGGCTGTTTACTTGTATCAGTTTGTTGTATTTATTGTACATTTTAATGAAAATGCTGACAAACTGTTGACAAACGTGTCTCCACGAAGTCCATTACCAGCTGTTCTGCAGCATTCGCTCCCATCATGTGATCTTCCTCAGCAGAGTTACTAATTGTTGAGCAGTTGTAGATTTTCAAATTACAATTTTCACTTTTTTTCCAGAGGCACTTGAAGGACTTCTCGTCCATTTGGGTTAGAAGTCGAGATTTAGATTATATTTAGATGTATTGATCTGCTGAGGGAGACTGATACGACTGAAAGCCCCGGAACAGCCACTAATTGACCTCGTGGTGAGATTGTTTTGTTAACTGCTGTTTGCAAGGTCAGAAAAGTCTTTCAGTCTCTACTGACACACTTTGTTTTTCTTTTAAAAGGGAAAAATATTGAGATTTTTATGTTGGATGATGAGGATTTGTTTGATGGCATTTTGTCAAAGTTAACTGTGTTCTCCTTTTGATTTCGTGGGTGCTTCCTCTCTGCCAAGAAGCAAGATTTTTCAGGCTTTTCAGCATGATTCATTCGTCCTTATTGGCACACTGAACATAACGGCGCCAGACTCAGTTTACCCTCTGGGAACAAAACAGAAAAATGCATCAAATCCCTAATCACTGCTGGTGGTTTTGGACGACTACCTCAAGCTTTTTTTGGACAGAGCCGACAAACCTAAATCTTGTCGAGACCCGCAACGCCACTTTTCACCACCAGGCCACACATCTACTTGTAGGTAAGAGGGGCGAATGACTAACAGCTAATATCTAAAAAGGTATACATGGTTATAATCTACTTTAGAGTGCACTGCAAACAAAAATTAACCATCATAAAACCACATAAGCAAACGTGACTAATGAAAGCACAATGAAGAAGAGGAAACTGCGTCGACCACAGCTAAGGACTATTAATAGCTTGAGGAATGGCCTCTCTGCATGTGTGTTAACGAGCATGTATTTATATTCACAGCACTGCATCAACAATACTCAGCAAAAGCTTCTTGTCCCCCGCGAAGGTCAGGGAGTCCACACGACCTAAAAGGACAATCTGTGCCAAACTCAAAGATCAGAAAGTGTTGGAGGAGTAAAAAACTTACAGGTGCATCTCAATAAATTAGAATATCATGACAAAGTTCATTTATTTCAGTAATTCAATTCAAAAAGTGAAAACTCGTATAGATTTGTATACACCACAAATTTGGAAATATTTCAAGCTTTATTCTTTAATTTTGATGATTATGCTTAAGCTAACAAAAACCCAAATTTAGTATTCTCAGAAAAATTTGCATAGTTTCATAAGACCTTTGATAGCGGCCTCAAGATCACTGCATCTGTTGCGAAGTCTGCGTGTCTCCATCTTCCTCTTGACACCCCTCCAAAAGCACATCAGTTCTCTTTGGGGGGTTCAGGTCAGGCGCTCAGTTATCTGGGGCCCATCAATCACAGTAACCACCATGGTCATTGTGGAACCAGGTAATTGGTACTTTTGGCAGTGTGGCAGGTGCCAAGTCCTGCCTGTGGGAAAGTGAAATCAAGGCATCTCCATTAATGCTTCATCAGCAAAAGGAGCATGAAGTGCTTCTTAAATGTCCTGGGAGATGGCTGCGTTTTGACTTTGGACTTGAGAAAACACAAGCTTTGGAGGAAGAACTTTGATTCCCAAATGAAATGCCAAAACTTCACTTTCCCATCTGAAAAAAGGGGACTTTGGACCGACTGAGCACAGTTTTTCTCCTTAGCCCCAGGTAGATGCTTCTGACAAGTTGTAGCTCATGTCCTGGATACACTGTGTGAGGTGGCTCTTGATGCACTGACTCCAGGCCTCGTCCACTCCTTAGGGAATGTCCCCAAAATCTTGAATGGGTCGTTGCTTCCAATCCTCTCAAGGCTGCGGTTATCCCGGCTGCGTGTGGCACCTTTTCCTACCACTTTTTCCTCCATCAACTTTTCTATTGAATATGCTTGGATATTCAGCTTCCTTTAGCAATGAGCTTTTGTGGCTAAACCCTTCCTTGTGGAGGGTGGTGATGACTGTCTTCTGGACAAACTGTCAATCCGCAGTCTTCCCCATGATTGTGTATTCCTTACTGAACCAGGACCATGGAGAACCATTTAAAGGCTCAGGAAACCTTTGCAGGGTGTTTTGAGTTAATTAACTGATTAGAGTGGAGCATTGTGGAGTTTCTACAAATATTGAACTACTGCTAATATTCTAATTTTCTGAGGATACTAATTTTGGTTTTGTTAGCTGTAGCCATAATCATAAAAAATTAAAAGAAATAAAGACTTGAAATATTTCACTTTGGTTGTGTAATGGAATCTATATAATATACGAGTTTCACTTTTTGATTGGAATTATAAATGAACTTTGTCATGATATTCTAATTTATTGAGATGCACCTGTACAGTTAAAGAGGGAGGGGGAAAAAAGAGTCGAGAGGCAGAGCGAGTTTTAAAAATAATCGTGGTTTATAAAACCCAGATATGACAGGATCACCAAAGTGTATACAGAAATACAAATACCATCAGGAAAACCATCATGGAACGGTGTTATACACTTGACATGTACAAACTACTCTGTAAAAGGGACTCGAGGGGGAGGATGGTTCAGACTGTAAGACATTTTCCTTTCTTTATGTCTCTTAAAATCACATTTAGCCACAATGTATTTATCCTATTATTATTCTTTTTTTTTTTTTGTATCTTATCAAAGTAGAACATCCATCTACCAAACTACAGGTACTATCACATTCAGCTAGATTAGAGAAAGGTCACGAACAACATCGAGAGAGGGGAGGAAGGAAGGCGAGGGATGCACACGTCAAGCACTTTAACATCATGGGGGGTTTCAGCAAGCAGTGAAAACAAAACCATTTTCGATTTTTACACCCATGACAAAAACGGGATGTCACAACGGGGCTTTGTCACCTTCATCGTCTCGTCAAACGCAAACTGTACAGAACGAACCCTGTTTTTCTTTTGTTTTGCGTCAGTGGGTTACTGAACATCTTCGAGCAGACACTGGTCACTAAAACATTTGTTTCGAAGCATGTCAAAAATGCTTTCAGCGAGCAAATAAAAAGATCCTAAATCTGCGTCAGAGGTATTCAAAGTGAAGCTCAGGCAGATCTGGGATCAGTTGAACAGTTTTTAGTTATATGGCGAGGGTCCTCTCTGTTCCTGTGCCCTACAGTATGTCAAAGTGCTTCTGTCAGCAGGGCAGTTTATAACAACAGATGTAACGTCCACAATATTTTCATGCACATTCACAAATGTACAAACAGTATTACAGCTTCAGGACACAGTAATCTGCCCCCCTCCACCCCCCTTTTTTAATTTATTTTTTGTTCCCCCACCTCCTCCATGAGCCCTGGACGCAAAAAACCTCTCCGGAGATGACGGAGTCTTGAAAGAAGAAGGAATCACCAACGAGATACAACCAATCACATTCTCCAGTTCTATGGATTTTTTTTCTTGCTATTTTTTATACAAACACATTTTAAACAGATTTACACATGAAAAAAGAGTGCAGGATTGTGACCAATCAAAGAAAAAGAAAAAAAAAGCTCCTCATCACCTAAAAAATACTGTTTGTCTCGGAGCAAAAATGGCAACGTATGAAATCGATCATTGTCACGGTGGCTCCAATGATCGCTAATATACACATCATGTCAAATAAATTAAGGTCTATGTACAATGTAGAACAAAAGCAGCATGCAGGCAAGACAACAGAGCCTTTTTACAAAACTATCTGCTGTAGTGTTGTGCTCTCTGACACGAGAGAGAGAGAGAGAGAGGCAATGTGTGTGTGTGTGTGTGTGTGTGTGTGTGTGTGTGAGAGATGTTTTATGCCCCTATACACTTACATGGCACGTGTCCAGTGTATTTAAATGGATAGGGAAGCTACCCGTCTTCTATATTCTAACAAGTACAACACATTTGTTTTAATTTCTAGCTTTCCAACTTCACATTAACCTCATCGACACACAGAAGCTTTTCAGTCCTTTTAAGCCGCTACGGGAAAAACAAGAAGTAGAAGAAACAGGACTTTGTGTAACACATTTTGTCTTGTAACTCTGGGCTTTGTCTCATGACTGGCTGGTGGTGACGTGGTGTAGCCACAGGGAGGAACAGCAGAGCAGAGAGCAGAGTGAGGGGGTCGAACAGGAAGAGAAAGTCAAACACACACACACCAGCATTAGATTTAGCATCCTTTTCTCTGAAAGCCAGAGGGGGCCCTTCAACAGCAGCAGCGACACACTTTCAAACTAAAACAAACAGCTGTCAGAGTGTGAGCCGCTGGTTTAAAAGAAGCCGTGGAGGCAGACAGTGGATGTCAGATGTACGGCACATTTTTTTTCCTGATTGTTACTAACGTATTTAAGATTAATAGATTAACAAACACCTGAAATAATTTTTTAAAAAGTGTTAAAATGAGGCGACATTGAACATTAGAGACAAACAACATGTATCTGGTAACAGGAATGCTGAATGTGGTGAAACCGGACTGACACAGGAGCTGTGAAACACGTCACAGGTTAGAGATATTTACTGTTAAAGAGACCTGAATGCTATTTTATTATAATAATATATTTGACTACCAACCAAGGAGCTCAATCAGAGCCTCAAACGTGCCCAATTCAGATGTTTGTTGAGGTTTTTCTGTTTTATAATTAGGTGAACCAAGTCAAAAGAGGCTGATTCATTGGGTTATAGCTTAGCTTTTTGTTAGAAGAAACCACCCAAACAGTACAAAAAGTATTTCGAATTATCACAAGCTGCACAAAACCGTTTTTATCTGCAACCATTGAATAGAAAACCGCCTCATCTGGCAGCGCTGAGCTTTTTGTCAGGGAGCTCAGGATTTCTAGCAGCACTCGAGTTTGGTGAGAATATGAAGTGTGTCAATATACCGGGTGGTTCTCAAACTTCTTCTGTCACATCCCAAGGTGAAATAAATTCACTTCATGTTAATAAAACTAGTAACAAAATGAGCCAATTTGAACTTCACTCCAATAACAACATGGTCTGCCTTTTTCTTTCTGTGCATGTTTCTCTCTCTTTTCTTTTTCATGCACAACAACAGGCCAGCTTGTACTTGACACATCGTTTTTTGCTGCGTGAATAAATCTTGTTGACCTGAATGTTGAAGGCCTTGCTAGCATCACAGCACTCTTGTTTGGTTATTGTAACCATCATGAATCAGAGTCATTCAATTTTAAACATACCCCCCCTCAGATGTTCCCACTCCCGGTTTGAGAACCACCGGCATGAACACTGTTTTTGACTCACAGACGATTCAGCTGAACATCTGAAGCGGTGTGTCACATCGCTCTGTTCCTGACACAGTTCTGCTCGTATCACTGGGATTTCCAACAAGACAGACAGAACCAGGCGGCTACAACGGCCCAGTGAAATATGTACTTTTGTAAATAAGCTTTGTACAGGTTGGGTGGGCGGAGCTAAAGTAGCCACGGACACATTCATAAAAATAAAGCTTTGGTAGTTAATGCAAAGAACAGCAATGCACATACACATGTACTGTAGCTAATCGGGGCACTTTAAGATGACATGACGCGACGATTCACGAGTCAGTTTGCCCTAATTCGAGGTTGGGTGTCTTAACTATGATCTTATTAAAAACATGGCACAACCAAGAAAAAAACATTCCAAACATTACAAAATACATCAACAATCATCGTGGGGATGCTCAAACTCGTCTCACTAGTATAAACAACACATGTAGAAGTACTCAACGACTACAATAGAGTAATAATGCACATCAAAATATATGAAATATATTACAAAGCAACTTCGTAGACTGGAAATGTTTAAATCAAAACATCCCTTTTTGTGTACAAGTAGGTTTTTTTCTTTTTTCTTTTTATGTTTTTGTGTATTAAATGCACTTTTCCTGCAAGTGCCTCCAGGGCTGTGATTGACATTATTACAACTCAACCAAAACAAAGAAAAGTTGGAGTATAAAAAGAATCAACGAGTTGAAACCAGTTGATTTGTTTTTGATATGCTGTGACGTGTGTAGAGTCCTTCCTCAGGTTCCTATGATTATTATTTAGTCTTTTGATTGGCTTCTCCCTGTTGATCCTAGTGTAGTTTTAAAAAGCCGTGTAAACAGTCATAAGTAGCCTATCTGCAGCTTCTACAAAATAAATCCAGAAAAAAAGAAAAAATCTAAACAAACACAAATATCTCAACATAAGAAGTTCTTTTAAAAAAAAGAAGAGGATAATAATCCCAGGGCAGTGTGGTCGGTGTTTCCATTAATGTGCAGAAGATTTCCCTTGATGTCTGTCTGTGTGTCTATCTGTGTGTGTGTGGCATTAGCGCTCTCCTCAACAGTAGCAATACTATACTATTCTTGTGCTTCAGCAGGTTTATCTTTATGTGTTTCTGCATTACAGTGTGTATCGTGTGTCTGTGTGTGTTTCTATACTTATAAAGACCAAATATACTCACATGTATATGAGGTAAATTGTCCAAAGTGAGGGCAGCCGGAGGTCCTCACTGCTTTAAAGGTTTAGACTGAAGGTTACTACGCTTATATCTATAAGGGAGAAGGGTTGAGGTTGGGTGTTAGTGAATGAGATCCTTATAAGTATAGTATGTTCTGTGTGTGCGTGCTGACGTTGTGGACTCAGCTGAAAGCCTCATCATCCGTGTCTTCAATTAGCACCTTTGTGTCCTTTCTCGATCTAGAAAAGAGGATTAAAAAAAATATATATTATCTAACATATTATTAATTTTATGTTACAACTTCCATAGATATTTTAATGTTGTTTTATGTTTTAAGTCAGTGATAGTTGCATCTTAAACCAAATCATACAACCGGTGTCTTCTGTGTTTTAATTTGATATGTCCCTTACTTCAAGGACACAACTTACCTTCTTTTAAACTCTCTAATTGTTTCCACTCAGTTTTAGTGATAAAAGTGTTTAAAAACTGGCTTGTGAGTCTAAGCACTACTAAACATTTAATACAGTTTTATATCTTCTTTAGTTCCTGTTTTCTAATATTTCCTAAAGTCAGACATTGAACCTGTGTCTCCATCTTGACAAATGGCTGAAACAAAGGAATGGAAATCCCTGACGAAGGGATATTGTATTTTATATTATAATGTTAATGTAAACCAAACTTCTTTAAGGTATTTGATTGTTTAATATTTGGAATAAAATGAATACTTTTTTAGCACCTCAGTGTTTATAAATCAAACTAAAATAAAAATGTATGAGTGCATGAGGCTGATGTCAAGTGTCCATGTTATGTCTTACTGTGATGAGGACAGTAGGGGGCGTCGGAGCGACAGGCTGTAGGACCTCTTCCAGGTCTTTTTGCCCGAGCGGTTTCGCACACCGTCATCCTGGTCCATCATCTGCTCCAGCAGCGTCTGGTCATCGGCATTGAGTGGCGCCACAGAGATATCCCTCACAGCACGAAACTCACCACAGTTATTCAGGTGCTCGTTCTCCA